TACTTACTTAGTTTTGTGCAGAATATGTAACATTAGATATAGTTAGAGGGCTAATGTAGACATTGATTGAAACTTAGAAGGGGCAACTCACATTATAGGAAAGCTTTAAGAGATACATAGATCCTTCTTTCGAATCGGTTTGCACCAATATTTTGGACAAAGGATATTTAAGCTCTTCACTAACAGAGTGTGACATATTTTTGAATCTCTAATTTTCTTCTACTTGATTTTTCTCTCGTGGACTCCTCACTAACGCTTAAGCCATTTTCTAGGGTAAAACCCTAATTCTTTTAGACTTTGTTCTTAATGGCATTAGACTTAGGCTAGTTTCACTGATTATCTTGATCTGTGGTTAAGGGTAGACCTAAAAATGAATCGGGTTTTAACCTTGATTTGACAAAACTCGTAAGAATTATAAATGTTTCGATCTAACTGTTGATTTGTTTACCCATTAACGATCCGTACCCATTATCCCTTGTATTAAAAGGGTTTCATATGAATTATTATTGATCCTTCGTTTATAAGCCATCCCATATAACTATCAGAATTATATTTTACAATTTTCCCAAACGTTTATTTTAAATTCAAATTTTAATATTGGCTTAGATGACTACACAAGATTGGCTACCTTCGAGAAAACATCTTAATTGAACGTCACTTAATTTATTTTACTTGAAGTCATTTAATATTTACATATATGTGTACTTTTGTATATGTTCTGAGTGAATTGACTGGTCGGATTCTTGAATTTTTAGGGATGCATATCAATGTCTACAATGTGTCATTTATGTTTTTATAATAGACATTTATATATTTTATTTAAAAAAATATTATTGCAAGTATTTAGTAAAAATGATGTTCATGTTATATTTTATGGATAATACTTTATGAAATGCATAATAAATTGTATACTATTATTATTATAAATTGGTCATGTTAATGGAGCGAATATATGTTGTTTTGGTGGATAAGGGTATGCGTTTGATTATTAAAAACCCTACAGGTTATGGAGCGGGTTTAGATCAAATGTTGAAATTTGTTAAAAGGTTTGGATCAATATTGATTCGTTCCAAACTCGCTCCATTGTGAGGTGTTTTGTAGGAATATGACTTATTAAGGTAATTAACTTTTCGGTTTGTTCACATTTGGGTAACTATTTATTTTATACACATCTAGGTAACAAACTTGTTGCAAGTGTTCACATATGACTATTATGACCTGATGTAGCAGGTTACATACGGTCATAATGGTAATATGTAAACACTTTCAACAAGTTCGTTACCTAGATATGTACAAAAAAAATGGTTACCGAAATATGAACAAAACGAAAAGTAAAAGTAAATTACACGAATGGTCCCTGTAGTTTGGGAGAATTTGTGTGTTTGGTCCGTAACTTATTTTTTTTTTAACTCGGATGGTCCCGACTGTTTATTTTTGTTGCGTGCTTGGTCCCTGTCTTACCTAAAAAGACTATTGTGCCCTTATTAATTTATTTTTTAATTAATTTTCTTATTTATGTATTTATTTTTTTATATATTTAAAAAAAATTAATAGATCTCACATATTCGTATCTCCTCACCATAAACCAATGTTGCAGAAAACGTTAGACGTTAGCTAGTCGGTGGATTAAGGTCTAGAGATTAATCGGAGGATTAATCGGGGACCATTAATTATTAAGAAAACTATTCAAAATTTTATAAATCTATCTTTAATCGTAAGAATATAAATAAATAAGAATAAAAGTTTAATAATAAGTTTAACAAGCACAACAATTTATCATCCAATTAATAAGAAAAGTTATTCAATTTTTAATATATCTTAAGAAAAGAAGTAAATTTGGGTATTTGTATATTTGAAAACATAGAAATTTTGAAAATTTTGGAGAAAAACTTTAAAATTTTTTTTTTTTAAAATTTTTTTATATATTACTTGAACACTGAAATACTATGAACTTTTGAAATTTTGAAAATTTTGGTGTAATATTTAAAAATTTGGCCGATTAGGCTGCCTAGGACCGATTAGGACTGCCTAGGACCGATTAGAACCGTCTAGCTCCGACTTTGACCCCCTTTTACCAAAATCGATTAAGCCGACCGATTAGCCTTAATCCTATTCGGTTGAAGACCGCCTAACGATTAATCCCCGATTAATCGGCCGCCTAGACCGACTTTTACAACACTGCCGTAAACCTGAAACCACATTTGAGAAATTTAATCTGGGTCCCACCAGTCACCAATTCATCTCTCATCCTCCTCAACTTCTATTTCCTTACCATATTTAGTGACATCGACGTCATCACCATACCTTCGTTTTCGGTCTTTCAACTCTTGTGAACCAACACCACAACCCATTAAAGATGAAGAGACAGTGGGGATGGTGACCGGTGGGACCCAAATTAAATTTCTCAAAAGTAGTTCTAGGTTTACGGTGAGGAGATACAGATATGTGGGGTCTATTAATTTTTTTTAAATATATAAAATAAATACATAAATAAGAAAAATTAATTAAAGAAAATAAATTAATAAGGGCACAATTAGGTGCTGTTTGTTTTTTCTGAGGCAATATGTCTACAGTCTGCAGACCACATCTGTAGACCTCTGCAGTAGAAGAGGTGGACCAAACGTCTGCAGTCTGAAAAAAGAAGACTGTTTGTTTTTTTAACATCTGCGGACTACTAAAATAAACTGAAATCTAAATAAACTGATTTTTTTAAACTTCAAAGTGATTTTTTAATATTTTTATGACTTTGTTATAAATAATTAACAAATATAGATCAACTTTTATGTATTATTGTATAAAAATAAAAATAAAAATGGTATGAATTAACGTATATTATAATTAGGGATCAAAGAATTTGATACATAAATGGATATAAATAAACTTCAATTTTTTCAATTAAATCGATTAAAAACGTACCATAAATATTTTCTCAAGAAATTGACGATACTGTATTAAATAATGTTTTACAAAATTTGGCAAAAAATATATTAGAATATATATTATGATTTTTTTTTTCATATTTATATAAACAACTTCAACGACTATCATTGTAATAAATATTTATTTATAAAATTGTCAAAAATATCATGTTTGTATCGTCGAACGTTTTTTTTAAGTTTTGTAATTTTTTTTTCAAATTGTTTATCATTAATAAAGTTGGAAAAAATATAAATTAAAAAAAAACTTAAAAAAAACAAAGATATATGTGTTTTTTTAGGTTAGAAGATGTCTGAAGATGTTAGAAAACTTTGGTCCACATCTACGCCAAGAAGAGGGCGCGCAGACATTTTTAGGTCTGCAGTCTTCAAAAACACAAACAGTCTGCGAAGGCTAATGTATGCGCTTGGTCTGCGCGGCGCAGACAGAAGAGGCCACACAGATCTGCAGACAAAAACCAAACAACACCTTAGTCTTTTTAGATAAGACAGAGACCAAACGCGTAACAAAAATAAACAGTAGAGACCAACCAAGTTAAAAAAAATAAGTTATGGACGCAACGCACAAATTTCCCAAACCACAGGGACCATTCGTGTAATTTACTCTTACTTTTCGTTTTGTTCATATTTTGATAACTTTTTTTTGTACACATCTAAGTAACGAAGTTGTTTAAAGTGTTCACATATATATATATATATATATATATATATATATATATATATATATATATATATATATATATATATATATATATATATATATATATAACTATTATGATCGGATTTAACCTGCTACAGTCATAATAGTCATATGTGAACACTTCGAACAAGTTTGTTACCTAGATGTGTACAAAAAAAATAGTTATCTATATGTGATCAAACCGAAAAATTAATTAACTTAATAAGTCTTATTCCCGGTGTTTTGCAATAGAGAGCCAGTCTTACTGGAAGTGAGGTACTATTTGTACGCTCTTTTATTCATGATGTGGTTCTCAGTATAAAGGGAATTGTTGGAGCTATCTTCTTATGGTTTGTGATTCTTTGTAACATGCTATTTGAGCTAAAAATGTATATGATACAATTATTAATAACAAAATCATGGAATAATTTTCAGTGAGTTTTCAAAAACTATTTATTGTAGGGAAATCTGCGAAAAAGTCTCAAAGTTTTGCACCAGTTTATGATTTAGTCCCAAATTAAATTCCACTTATGAAAAAGGACAGATTACCGGCTATTACACTCAGTTTAGCCCTAAGAACCGGTAACCCTTATAATAGCCGATTACCCCAGCTCACTGTCCTTATCACCCTCCATTAACCTCCCCGTCATCCACTCCTCCTCTATAAAAACCCTTTCTTACCCTCCATCGAAACAAAACTCTACCAAAATGGCATCTTCAAGCTCAGTGGGAAGTAGGAGCAATATCCGATCACGAAGGCAAGCATTAAGGGCAACATGCTTTTGTGAAGACCCCGTTGGTAAGTGGACATCATGGAGGCCAACAAACCCTGGCAGGAGGTTCATCGGCTGCCCTAATTTCCGGGTAAGTATCCCTTAAACCTATTTAATTACATCTCAAATCTCTTCCAATTAGGTTTTATTTCCTATATAACAGGATGAGGAAAAAGATTGCAAGTATTTTGCTTGGGTCGATCCCCCATTACCGAACAACTGGTACAGAAACTTGTTGATGGAGTTTCACAATAATGACATTCAAGTACACAATGAGTTTGCGGAAGAATTTGTGGAAGAAGCTGTGGATTTTCACAACAATGGCATTCAAGAGGTTCCTGTACAAGTTGAAGGTGAAAAATGGAAGATTGGGTTTTTTTGTGTTTGTTGGTGATTGTGTGGATTATGTTGAAGTAGTTTTAAGTTGTAAAACTTTTAAATGACAGTTGGATGTAAGTTGTATGTTGTTGAATGAAAAATGGTTTTATGGATACCTACTGTTTGAGCAATGTACAATTGTAAGTGTATGATGTGAGCAAATGAAGGATGTTTTTCAATATAACATAATGAACAAAATGGATGTAAGTTATACATCAACAAAACATACCAAAATCAGCCAAAGTGTTTACAAAAGGAAAGGGCATATCCCTATTAACAAATTTACCAAAAAGGGCTTCCTAACAAATTTGCCCAAATAGCCCATATAACTGCTTAAATCCTAACCAATCTAAAGTCCCAAAGTGATAACAATGCAGCCATATTGTATATTGTTTACAAAAGAAATGGCATATTAACAAAATTTACCAAAAAGGGTTTCCTAACAAATTTGCCCAAGTAGCCCATATAACTGCTTAAATCCTAACCAATCTAATCCAAAGTAAGAGGTTTTTCTGGAGCCATTCCTATTCCTTTCTTGTCAATCACAATTTTCTTCAACATGTTTTCAGTAATCCTTTCAGAAGTTTTTCTTGTTCTAACCATGACTTGAGTTCTAACCCTAACTTGAGTATCATCAACTCCCTCTTCATCATCCTCAGCTCCATCTTCATCATTGTCCTCCTGTGATTCTTCAACTCCATCTTCATAGTCACTCTCCTCCTTGTTTTCACCATTGTCCTCCTGTGTTTCTGGTACATGTTCACTCACAAAAAGGCACATCCTTGCATGGGAAAGAATACAAGTTAGTTATGTTATTGAAAAATAAAATTCACTGTCAATGTTATAATATATACCTTTGCAGCTTGTTTGGATTGGTGTGGTGATTCATATCTCTCTCCAAGAACTGGCTTCATATTGTTCCATTTCACCTTCGGATCATGGGTTGAGTATTGAAACTGCAATTTGTCTTCATCGTCACCTTCACTATCACTCTGCTTCTCCTGCGGTGCTTCATCTTCTGACATTCCTTCAAAATCATTTAGGTTTATCTCAGGTATGGTGCATTCGTCAAGCGCTTCGTCTGTGAGAGTATTTAGGAACTCATCTTTGCATCGACTTCTTTGTTTGTGTTTGAAAAACTCATCCAATTCCACATCAATGGTATCGAAGTCATCTACTGTCTCCATTACCACTATAAAACAAAAATTAATCAAATATTATAAGGGAAACAAGATATTGGAGGACCACGTGGATTTTCTTACCTTTGATTCTTCTCCGGTAACGTTTTACTTCGATGGAGGGTAAGAAAGGGTTTTTACAGAGGAGGAGTAGATGACGGGGAGGTTAGTGAAGGGTGATAAGGATGAGCCAGCTGGGATAACCGGCTATTATAAGGATTACAGGTTCCTAGGGCTAAACTGAGTGTAATAGCCGGTAATCTGGCCTTTTTCATAAGTGAAATTTAATTTAGGACTAAATCATAAACTGGGCCAAAATTTTGGGACTTTTTCGTAGATTTTCCATTTATTGTAGTTCATAACTTTCATGATTTTATCATACATTCGATTGGACTTGATCAATTATTAAAAGAAGACAAAATTTATTGATTGATTATAACTTTTCCACATAACTTACAAAATCGTATTAAAAAAATTTAGATGTCTCTTTTATATATAAAAACTTGAAAGTAAATGGCCACATGGCGTGTGACTCTCTCACTACCTTGAATGTAGTCAAGTGATTGTTTTTGTGTTTTAGAAGAAATTTTTAATCTACATATGTTTAGAATGGAATAATATTAATTTTATAAAAAGGAAGCGTCCATAAACAAAATTACTTTTTATAACAAAAGTAAAATTGCCCGTTATGCATCATTTTTAGCTAAATCAGGTTATGTATGCATGCATCGGTGCAACTGCATACGCGTCTTCTCACAACGTATGAGGACCATCATATTAAAGCATTTAGATAAAATTAATAATCATGTACAATAATAAAAGTTAATTCCAATGAGAAGATAAGTTTGATGTTTGAGAATTCAATCACTTTGTTTTAGGTGTTTTTTCTTAATACTTTATGATTTTTTCCCATTTAAAAATTTAGTTTATAAGTTTTGATATGTCAAAAAGAGGAGAACGATGACTTATGATTTTTAGGTGTTTTTTTCTTAATGCTCTATGATTTTTGAGCTTATAATTTTTTTTTTTCTTTTCCCATCTAAAAGTCATACTATTCGGTAATTGCAGGTCTGTCTAAATAAAATTTCGTCGGTGAAAATTACTGACTTGCCAATGTCAAAAACAATAAGTAAATTCTCGGTGTCTGATAAATAAATTCTGAGCTTTTGGATTTTAATCCATTTATAATCAAAATAAACATTAAGTAAACTAATTAACCAATACTTACATATGCATAATGTGGCACCTTGTCATAAAAGTCTTATAATCTTTTCATGCTCATGCAATTGAATTTTACCCAAAGAGCATATGTTATAATTAAGATCAATTAATATGTTTTTAGTGGATGCTAATAGTTGCTACTTTATGTGATGAATTAATACAAATAGGTTACATTCAACCAATAAGAACATGATTAATATCCCTTTAGGTTCATATGTCTTCTTCGAAATCATGCCAACAATTATGTTTTTAATGTTGATGTGTAGGTCTTGTATTCGACGATTTATGTATTTTCGCATCACTGATTTGCTGTTACGAAAAGAAATATCCGAAAATAATAGGTTATAGGGAAATCGGAGTGGGACCACGATAGTGAAACTTAACCCAGTAAAACCCAATAACGTGAGGCCCAATATTATGCAAGCCTTCAAGTTGCTCAGGGCTTAATGCTATTCAAAAGCACAACGATCTCTTAAAGATAAAACATTGGCAAAACATTCCAAAATTAATATTGGTTATGGACTGATTTGTAGACCTAATAATACAGCGTATTTTGATCCAGCTCTGTTTTAAAATCGTGCAAAACTAATGGGTTTGGATCATATTTTATGATTCGTTTACCCGTTAGCGATCTGTACCCGTTAACCCTTTTACTAAAAGTCGGGTACGAATCACTATCGATCCGATCCGTTTATAACCTGTCCCGTCTAAAATTTTGAAATATAAATTAATTATTTATAAGTTATAATACATTTATCAAATCGTTAGGTATAGGAGCCGAGGAGTTAGATTGTTAGACATTCCACTTTGACTTTCCAGTTCAGTTCCTAATGCAAATGGCCGATTGCAGTCGGCTCCCGATATAATCGACTCTATAATCTTTGAAATCGACTGTGAAATCGATATTCAACAATCAAGACTCGAGAGCAAGAAGAAAAGGGCTTCAATCAAGATTCAAGAACAAGAAGAAAAGGCTACAATCAAGTGTCTACATTTCACGATCATTATACATTGGAAAAGTTATTTATATAGCTATAATTGAACTTTATTTTGGAATGAACGTTGTTTGGTTTTAGTGATCATGTTATATGTGTTTAATCATTCAAAACAATGCGGGTTATGGGTCGTGTAATATTGTAAATGGGTCGGGTAAAAGAGTTGAAATCCATTGATCCGGTGGATAAGGATATGAGTTTAATCATTCAAAACAATGCGGGTTATGGGTCGTGTTTGGATCATCATTTGAAAATTGCTTAACGAGTTTGGATTAAGGTTGATCCGCTCCAAACCCGCTCTAGTCAGGCCAATTGATTTGATAATATTGAAAAAAATAGATTGGTTAAGGTCTATTTTAGGGGTCGTTTGATATGGTATCTAACTGGGGTCCAAAGAGGGACTGGGTCCATAAAATACCAATTGGCATGTTTGATAGGTATAGGACTCGGACCAACATTTTGACTCGGTCCAATAAAAACATAGGACTCGGTCCTTGCTTTCAACTTGACGGACCGAGAAAAATAGAACAAAAACAAAAAATTGCTACTGCCCTACATATTGTTGCGAGGTTTTAATTTCTTCCCTTCCCCCGTTAACCTCCGATCGACGAAGCCAGAAGCCTTTCCCTTATTGATCAAAAGCATTGCAGCAATCGTCATCCACAACAACAGCCTTCGTGATCAACAACAACACATCAATATGTTTGTTTTTATTTTTTTAACGTTGTTTTTTCTGTATTCATAGTCAGGGGCATAACTGTCCAGAACTTGATAAATTTTTTTGCGTGTTATTTCTGTCAATACCCCATAATCAGGGCAAAATTGTCCAGATCTGTCCATATATTTTTGTGGTATTGTATCTCATTAGAGCTGTCAAGGATCTAACTCACACTCATGAATTCTTGAAGCTGTTTGAATGTCAAGTTTTCATGAATTCTTGAAGTTGTGTGACTGTCATCTTTTTTATATCATTTGGTAGTGAAAATATGGCATCTAAGAGCTATAGATTCCGTTTTAAACCTGACTACTCATCTTTAATTGATTGAACAATCATGTTTCTTTTACTTGTTGTTTATTCTTGTCTGTTTTCTAATATGTTACCTTACTCTATGCCAAAAATTTTGTCATTGATGTTAGTATAAACAAATTATTGTCTTTATAGAGTAAAAAGTTAAGAATGAATTATGTAAGCGATTTTTAGTGATAAATATATATGACTGTGATAGTTGAATTTGTACATTTAAGCATATTATCATGTTTGTTTTTTGATTTAGTAATAACAATATTGTAAAGTTTTAACAAAATTATAAATTTGATAATTAGAAAAAAAATTTCTGATTTATTATATTTTCGTATTCTTTGAAAAATTTATCCCTTATAAAAAATAACAAGACACTAATTTACTTCTTAAATTTTTATACTAAAAAACTAAATGTGTATATGTATATATATTTATATATATGTGTGCAAAATTGTGTGTATATTGGTGTATACATTTGTGTAACATCTTTTTGTATATGTATATATATTTGTGTTTATGTGTGCAATTATGTGTATATATTTGGGTAACATGTTTATCATTCATTTATTCCTTAGACATGGCAGAAAAGAGAAATAGAGCTAGTTGGTCTTCAGATTTTGTGAACAAAACTTTTTCTTGATGCATGTATCCAATAACTAAGAAGTAACGGTAGGGAGGGTAGTGGTCTCAAAGGTACCTCATGGAATATAATAGCTGAAAAACTAAAAAAAGAACACAACTTTGTTGTTGAGAAAAAACAAATGAAATATCGTTATGACTACTTGAAAAGCAAGTATGCAGTTTGGTTGAAATTAAAAAACAAAACTGGGAATCTCTATAATCCTATCACAAACACGTTTCAAATGACGGATGAAGAGTGGAAAGCGGAGGCGAAGGTAATCTTTTAATTTAAAACACATTATTATTTTTTAAAAAGTTTAATAATAAAATCATTTTTTCAAATAGTTGAACAAGATGGTTGAGAAATTAAGAAATGCACCCCTCCTTTACCATGATCTATGCGCTCAGTTGTTTGACGGTGCGACCTCGACAGATGCTGCTAGTTGGGGAACATCTTCGACACATCCCTTATACTGAAGAAGGTTTTACTACACAAGATTATGAGGATATCGAGATGGTAGATACACCACCTCAAATGGATATCCCAGCCTTAGCTTCAACAGTACCCCCACCTACAAGTGCATCATATGCAATTGGAGATTCGTCTGCTCGGTCCAAAAATAAAAGAGGAAAAAGAAATGCACCCACGGACACACTGGATGATGACACAAGAGAGGTTGGCATGGAAATTATGAAGGCGGCTCAGGCGTTCGAGCAAACTAATAATCTTGACAAGGAGATGTATGAATGTATTGAAAAATTGAGAGGCTTGGAGTGGGGAAATTTTGATCCGAAATACATCACTGCTCTTATGTTTTTCACTGAAAATGTTGGTAACAGGAAAATTTGGTTACGCCTCGAGTCTTCGACTTGTGAGTTGTGGGTGACAAGTGCGGGAAAGAATTTTGGATTACTTTGTTGACTTTAGTATGACTTTAGGATGTTTTTGGCTTTATGCTTTATGGATTTATATTATGGTACATGTTATGGGTTTTTATGTGTAGGTTTGTGATGTGTTATGTTTAGGATTTTTAAGTTTAGGTTTTTTATGTGTTATGTTTAGGATTGTTATTTGGTATTGATTTTTATGTTATGGATTTTTATGTGATGAATTTTTATGTTATGGAGTTATATGTTATGCATTTTAATGT